ACCACCATGGGAGAGGAATAAAACATGCTGAAAGACATATTTTCTCAATGGTCCTTTCTAGAACCAGAAGGCCATAAATTGAATTACTAACTAAACTAACTGCTTCTTTTTCTAACTGCTGATTTGGAAAATCAAAACAGACGTCATTTCATAACTGGACCTGAAAAACTTATGATTCTTTGGACATGTGACTTTAACAGAGTGAAAGAACATAAGCTCCTTTAATAGCGAATTATATCGAAGCTCCCAGTTTATTAAACTTCTGCTTCACCCACATGATTTTACCATCTCTACGCAGAACTCGAAGTGGAGCACTTACTGGCCAGGTTCACATGACGATGTCATAGTGCATATTCACTGAGTACATGACAGGATCAACGACAGGACAGGTGAACTACCCAGCTACCTGCACACTGTTTTTCTCTAAAAGTAAGTTACATTTTAAAGTAAGTCTTATTATTATTTTTATTTTTATTTTTGACAGGCAGAGTGGACAGTGAGAGAGAGAGAGAGAGACAGAGAGAGAGAGAGAGAGAGAGAGAGAGAGAGAGAAAGGTCTTCCTTTTTGCCGTTGGTTCACTCTCCAATGGCCGCCGCAGTAGGCGTGCTGCAGCCGGCGCACCGCGCTGATCCGATGGCAGGAGCCAGGTGCTTCTCCTGGTCTCCCATGGGGTACAGGGCCCAAGTACTTGGGCCATCCTCCACTGCACTCCCTGGCCACAGCAGAGAGCTGGCCTGGAAGAGGGGCAACCGGGACAGAATCCGGTGCCCCGACCGGGACTAGAACCTGGTGTGCCGGCGCCGCAAGGCGGAGGATTAGCCTAGTGAGCCGCGGCGCCGGCCATTTTTTAATTTTTAATTTTTTTTATTTTTATTTTTGACAGGCAGAGTGGACAGTGAGAGAGAGAGACAGAGAGAAAGGACATTTTAAAGTAAGTCTTAAAAGTAAGTTACATTTCAAAGGGCTTCACATATAGGAGGACGGTTAAATGAAACAGCCCTGTCCCTGTTACGGCTGTGGTGCAATTCACAAATTCTTAACAGAAATGCACATCTAGGGCTGGCACGATGGTGCAGAGGGTTAAGGCCCCGCCTGTGACGTCAGCATTCCTATCAGAGCACCGGTTCAAATTCAGCTGCTCTGCTTCTGATCCAGCCCCTGCTAATGTGCCTGCGAAAGCAGCGGAAGATGCCCAAGGACTTGGGTCCCTGCCCCCCGATAGGAGACCCAGGTGGAGTTCCAGGCTCCAAGCTTTGGCCTGGCCCACAGCCTGTTGAGGCCATTTAGGGAGTGACCCAGAGGATGGAAGATCTCTTCCTCTTTGTCTCTCCCTCTGTCACTCTGCCTTTCAAATACATAAAAAGTCTTTAAAAAACAGAAATGTACAGCTTTAAACATATATAGTTATTTTCCTCTGATAATTATATGATTCTAATTGGAAAGAGTATAACTAAGATATTTTAAAATTACCAATACAATCTCATGATTAATTCTTTTTGAAAAATTTACTTAATTTCATTTTATTTGAAAACTTCCTCCGTCAGGCTTAAGCCAGGAGCCAGAAACTCAATCCAGGTCTCCCATGCGGGTGGCAGGGACTCAGGAACTGGAGCCACGACCTGCTGCCTCCTGGGTGTGCATCAGCAGGGAGCGTGATCCAAAGCAGCAGAACTGGGACCGAACCAGACCCTCTGATGTGGGATGAGGGTTTTCCGGCAGCGAGTTAACCACTGTGCCAACATCTGCCCCACCACTGACACTCAATGCAGGGCAAGGGCATTTATTTAATTTAATACCATAATGCTGTAAGTGCTAAATTAGTTCAGGCTGAGAAATGTGGAACCTTATCCAAGCCTGCCCCTTGGTGGTCCAATTCAAGAATAGCAAGCTAAAATCAAAGCAGACTGATTACCAGTGATAGTTCCTTACTTACCCTAAAATGGAAAACGAAAAAAGCTTCTTGAAATTAAAAATAAGCTTAATTAGATTTCAATATTATTTCTTAGTTATAACTTTAGATATATTAACTTTTAGCAACTGAAATTACTAAAACATGATGATGTCAGTTTTGGTAGCTGATAGTTTCCAAAACCTTAGATCTGAATTTCAAACCCACAAGGTGCCTCTCGTTTATTTTGGCTTTGTGCCTGTGTGTCTTATTCAATATTTTATTTACCAGAGTCCTGCCAGTCCTGCCACTGTGCCTGTTTGGGGTATATGTGCTCAGGGCATATTTTTTTTAATTAATTAATTTATTTGAGAAGCAGTGACAGAGTAAGGAAGAGACGGGGACAGCAAGAGAACTTCCATCCCCCGGTTCACTCCCCAAATGGCCACAACAGCCAGGGCTGGTCTCAGATAAAACCAGGAACAGGGAACTCCTTCATGGTCTCCCACGTAGGCGGCAGGGGCCCAGGTCCTTGGGGCCGTCTTCTGCTGCCTTCCCAGGAGCCCTAGCACGGCGCTGTATCCCACGAGGAACAACCAGGACTCCAGCCAGCACTCTGACAGGGATTCTGGCACCACAAATGGCCGCGTAACTCAGTCACAACGATGGCCCCATTTGTTTAAAGGAACAAATGCTATTCAATTATCAGAACATTTGCAGAATTAAAACAGCAAGATATTATTTAATCACGCAGCCATGTGCGCACACACACACACACACATACACAGATGTTGCCTGGGCAACTCTCACAGACAAATGCAGCCTCAATGCACTGCTCTTCTCATTGTGCTGCCACCAACACCCACTGTCCCCGCACGATTTTAGTCACCAGGCTTCAGGTGGGAAGAGCCACTGCAGAGCGGGGTCTGCAAATTCACCTGGAGGCACTCACTGTGGTCAGGACCGTCCTGCGTGGGCGGGCCCAACACGTTCAGTGTTGTACTTAAACCCTGCACGGCATGTTTGAAGTCTGGCCCTGAGGTCTGCCTTTATTGGAACAGAGGGAGATGCCAGGGAGAGCATGCTTGGTCTTTTGTAGGTTCAAAAGACATACCCAACTTAATGACTTATTTTAAAATACTCTTATCTGTTTGTGTTTTTAATTTAGAGATCTGAATCCCCTTTTGTAAAAAGTGTTGCAAATGCAGTCTTTGGTAATGCTACCGAAGGCTGTCACCTAGTGAGCCAGAGAGTGGGGTTCCCAGCCCAGGGAGGCAGCTCTGTGAGTGAGGGGACAGGCAGTGGGAGCCCGGGAGCCCAGGCACTGGGCCTGCGGTGAGAGTCTCTTCTGGGTTGGCAGAGGGGCAGCCGTGCCAAGAACCCCGGCTGTTGTATGCACACGGAGGGCGGGCAGTAAGTGACGGCTTAGGTTTGATTTTTATTGTCTAATTCATAACTCACGTCCTCACTAGTGTTCCACGTGTCTGTATTTTCCTCTCTTTAAATCACAGAGCTCTTTCATTCTCCCTGCTCCCTTTTCCTCTTTGCTGCAATTACTGTTTACATCAGCCAGCACAATGTAGCTATCACGTTGAAGAACAGAAGCGAGCTCTATCTATCACGTTTCAGCTTAATTAGGGCAACTAATGCCCCCAAATCTGCTCCACAGAGTTCACCATAGCGATGTTCGGCAGATTTCTAGAACGTGTTTTTGAAATTACTCAGTTTCTAAAACCTGAATCAGTTCCTTCAAACACAAATGTCTATTTAAAAAAAAAAAATCTGTGTAGCTATTTTTTTCACTTGCAAAAAGCACAATTTACTTTCTATGAAAAATGAAACTCAATCTGAAAGACGTAGTAAAGACTTTTGGTGCCCATTTCACTGAAGTTGAGCGTATCTGTGTTATCACATCAGAAGAGTTTCACATATATAAGGAAAAAATACCACACTGCATAGATCAAAATACAAAACTTACAGTTCTTGGGAAATTTTCTGGTTTTTTTAAGTACAGTATGGGCTCAGAAACTCAAAGACAATCGCTTTGTTGTAAATTTGCAGCTACAGCTACACTAGGTCTGCTCAAGCGCTATGGTTTCAGCCAGGTGGCCGATGTGTTTGTACCTGCTACAGGGCTAACACACCCAAGCGCATAAACACTGATACTGCATCGACAGCTGCCACTCTAATAGCAACATATCAAGAAACATCCCCATGGATTTCCAAATCAGTCTTCAACCTGACTGAGGTTCCCTTTGGCTATCTAAAGAGTTCCAGAAGAGTAAAGAAAAGAGAGCAGGACCATGTGAAAACCTAATATTATTAAAATGCGCACTTACCAACTTTCAGAGGCCACACGACTTTGGAACATCTTAACTATCCTACTGAGCGCATTCATTTCTGCTTCTGTTTTAATGACTGGCATCCAAAACGACAGTTTTGTTGTGCAGGATGTGCTGCGAACACGCCTTTCGACTCCTGAGCCACTGGTGCTCTCGGGAAAGGCTGCCCAGTGAGCAGTCTGTCAGTACACCCGTGATGTCTCTACACAGCGAACGATTCCTGCAAAACGCTCTGCTCCGCTTGACTTCCTTCTATGCCCTATGTCACTACGTTTAATCACAGGACTCCAAACACATGCTTTCCAATTCTTAAAATACACCCATTTAACCCCTCTCAAGTTTCACAGAGCAGTTCTCCAAACCCTCACCCTAAGTGTTTTGTTGATTTCTTCTTACCTCCAGTGAATGAAATAAATGCTTTAAACTAAACATTACAATAAAATGCACATTCTAAGCTCTTCCTTCACTGAGGGTAAGAATGGAGGCACTGGGACCTACAGCGTATTTGTATCTGGGTACGGTACACATTGGTGTAAATATTGTGCTGTATTTTCAGGGGCAATGCACCTGAAGCCCTACAAGTATGTGTTGGCTGGTATCTCTCTGAATTCTTACAAGGACTACTGAGAGAACCGTACACGTCCTTCTTGCCCGAGTACCCCTCATCACGGAAATCTGGAGCCACAGAGCACGTGACTGCAGAAACTCAAGTTTCCACGCGGACACCCAGGAATCCCTGGGATGCTAGTAACTGAAACGTGATGCATACCATGAAATTTCGCTGGTAGTGGATGTTCTCCTTGTTGAAGTCGATCACGTAGCCGTTGAAGGACCACACGAACGTGAGATCCAGGGCGGAATCAAAGGACGCGGCACACTGCATGGTGGCGTTCTCCCCGACGGTGATGTCAGCGTTCAGAGGGGCCAGGATGATCCGCGTGGGGTCTGCACGGTTTCAAGTGAGAGAGTAAAAAGCATGATTCAAGAACGTGTGATACTCCACAAGATCCGACACACCCCTGAATAACAGCCAATGCGTTCTGATTTCTCTGTGCAAAGCAACGAGACACTTTTAAATCCAAATGCCAGGAACAATTTCACCAAGCAAGGACCCGCCCAGAAAGCTTGTATCAATCCAGGGGCTGTTTCCGAATCTTGGTGGCGAACCACACGTCTTGCAGCACATCAGAAGTTAAACACCGTCAGGCTGAACAAAGAGCAGGACGAGAACCGGGTTCCCCACCTGTGATGACGAGCGTCCCAGTGCTATTCGCCTTTCCCCTGTTGTTTTCTGCAAAGCAGGTGTAGACGCCGCCATCGCTCCTCGTAATGTTGTTGATTTCCAGGCTGCCGTCTTCCCAGATGAGGATTCTAGAGCAATGGGAAAAACAGTATCCATGACGCTGCAACTGAACACTTTGTTACTGCACCGCTGTTATAGACACTTCATCGTATACAGATGACAGGACAGTCAGGACGGGCTGGAAGTGGGGGCATGCCGTCTCTCGTTTCCAGAATTCTTCCTTAGCAGGGACAGAACCACGACAGGCATGTTCAAACAGACCTGCTGTTGTACTCCTGTTGGGACCTCCACCCTTCCCCGTGTGTCAGCCCGAGGTGAGGACGTGAGGGACCTAAGTCACGACACTGCACAGCCTGGGACCCTCCAGCAATGTCCTCTCCCAGAGGCCACGCTCAGGCCCTGCCCCACGATGCACCAGAGGACCTCAGGTTCTTCCTCCGCTCCGGCTGTCCTACAGACTGCTCAGCGGCACCCTCAGGTTCCTCACAATTCTGGTTGCTGTTATGCACACCTGTACATGTAACACACACACACACACATGCGCACACACACACAGGGTCTTGCTGTCTTGGCATTCTGCACCTGTTCTTCCTCCCACATGTTTTTCTCTATACTCATGTTCCTCCTGAAATGTCTCAGTTCTACCTGTTAATTCCATCGTTGCATTTGTTAGGACATTCTGACATCAGGAGGGCCTGCTTGGCTATGCCCCAGCGTCTCACACATCCATTAACACACTCCTGTGTGGAAACAGCAGACGGCACCCACTAAGCAGTGAGACGTCCCCACTGAGGGGCCATGTGATCAGTCTGTCTTCCCTGGAACGAGTGAGCTACGTGCAGTTTAACTGAAGCAGGTTGAAGCAGTTTTCCTCAGCCCACCACAAAATGACACTCATGCCACAAAGGGATGAGTTCAGAAACATAGGAGGCCTGACACAAAGGAGGCCAGGTCACCAAGGAATGTGACCTCAGGACTTCAGCTCAATTTCACCACAGGACCCTGTCTCGCCTGCTGCTTCAGACAAAGACACACAATAAAAGAAACGTGTTTTAGAATCCTCCTTACTAACCCATTCTGCAAATAACATTTTTTTTTTAATTTAAGGTGTACAAATTTCATATATACAGGTTCAGGAACATTGTGATACTTCCCACCCTACCTTCCTCCCGCCCACACTCCCACCCTTCCTCCTCCTTTCTCTCTTATTCCCTCTTAATTCTCACAATGATCTACTTTCAGTTAATTTTATACTCCCAAGATTAACCCTACACTAAGCAAAGAGTTTAACAAACAGTAGGAAGAAAAATAAAAAACACTGGACCTCAACAGTAGAGACAAGGGCTGTAAACAAGCATCATGTCTCAAAATGTCCACTTCACTCCTGTACTTTACACCAATTCTGTTAACTACTAAGACGTTCTGCGGGAGAACACAACCACTGGAGCCTGAACAGAACCATGCAGCTGAGGGTTCCAGGATCATCTGTCCACATATTGGCCTCTCGCAATGGCGGGCCAACAACAGGGTACTTCAAAGGGCTGCAGAACACAGAACTATGTCAACTTTAATGTGAAATCCATACACAGTGTTGTTTGTTCATTATATGAATTTCTCACAAAATTCTTGAAGTCCCCACTCCATTTTCCACAATCGTTTTCCATTAGCCTTCACTGTGCAATTCTCCAGCACCAACCTGGCACAGAAATGACTGTGATGGGGGGAACCGTGTTTGATAACTCCTTGTCCATCAGAGTGAGATCAAGTTTCTGTTTAGATTAGAGATCATTTAGTTTTCTGCTAAGTGAGCTGTTTGCTTATCTTTTTACACAGCAGTTTACATACTAGTCTACAGCATTAAGACATCTGCACACACGCTCTGTATCTATCATAAAGTGGCACCTACACTGAGACATCAGATGGATTAAACTAAGAGAACTGGACCTGTAGATGCTAGATACAATTCCGAAGTCTTAAATAACACAACCAAAACAGTGGGATTCAGGAGACGGTTCTTTTCTGGAGGGCACAATGACATTTAGGAAATACAAGTCCACAAGAAGTGAAGTCCTTGGTAAGAGACATGACGTGGGTCCCAGTCAGAATCAGAGCAAGGTCCCACCAGGAAGGAGGAAGAGGCGAGGTCAGCCAGGGCTGCAGGGGATGCCCTACCGCAGGCTGTGCAGGAGGGACCTCCTAACAGCTGAGCCCAGGCCATCTGACCTCACTCCTGACTCCGCTCCTGGTCACTCCATTAACGTATCAATACCAATTTAGCAAGCTCACTCTTGTTTAAGACTAATTCTTCTATATTACTGGATGTTAAATCAACGTATCATTCTCCTCTTGAAATACTGAGTAGACTAACAACCCCAAAATAAATCAAGTATGAATGGATATCAAGTCCTTCTTCAGGAAAAAAGCACACGGTAGAGAAACTTAAAAACAGTTTCCCATTAGTGGCTATGTGGTTGTGGGTGAGTCAGCAATAAAAAAAAATCTCTGAGCTTCAGTTTTCTAAATTCCTTACAAATTACGGAAGCCTAACATGTGATCCCTGACTGCAGTAAGAGATAATGACGGGGCGGTAATGACATCTGAGATGCGCAGCACCTGCTGTGCAGGCGCAGGAACCAAGGCCATGGTCACAAGGCTGTGAGAACGTGTCTTGTGTGAGAGGCTTCCCCAGAGAGCTCCGGCGGGCGGAGTCCTGGCCCCCGCTCACCTGCTGCCGTTGACCAGCCACTCGGTCCCTTTGCTCCAGGAAAACTTTGGTTTGGGCGCGGCTTTGGGTTTGCATTCGATTATCACCCTTCCTCCCTTAGCAGCCAGGATCTTCTTCTTCATGGGGTTCATTTCAAATGTTGGGGCCAAGGCTGAAAGAACAAGAAATCATCACTTCTGTCTTGTCTTTAGTAACACCCAAACACGCCTCCTGTATTGTGGCGCCTTTCATTCCCTTTCGATGGACAGTTAACAGAAAGGATTAACCTCAGTAAAAGTAATCACTAGGATCAACAAGCATTCCACACACACACACCTGGCCTGTTATTTAATAACTTTTATACAGACTTCACCCAGTTCAAAGGCGCTGTAATCGGACTATTAGAAGCTTCAGTTACAATTAACAGTCGTAGTCACATTGACCTTAAAGGTAATATCTCAACTGTCTGACTCCATTCCCTAGGGACGTCGAGCACCTGTAAGCAGTGACATATGGTGACATTAATCCTCTCAATGGCAACTGCATGAACAGACCCCGTGTACAGCAGAGAGAACTAAGTCCGTCCACAACACGTAACTTGGCAGGGGTGCCCCAGAACTAACAGGTCCTTCTGTTCTCACAGCACAGCCTCTCTGTCCCTGCATGTTTGCTGAGCACCGAGTGTGTACAGACGTTTTCTGAGATGGCAGAAGAAGCGGCCCCTCCTGAGGCGCCCCCGCCCTAGCTGCCGCTCGGCCCCTCAGCACTGGGCAGACTGCACGGGACTCTGTGCACCCACTGTGGTGCACGCCTCGATGCGTCAGCGTGCTCCTCCGGAGCCTACCCTCGGCCTGAGTCTATTTTCATCTGGGGTTCGACTCTCCATTATCCAGCCAGCTTGTCCCGTGCATCAGGATCAGCTGGTGGTGGTGTTGTTGTTGTTCAGATGTTCACACAACAGGCCTGGGGTGGGCCTGAGATCCTGCACTGGGAACCTCTGGCTGCACGTCCCCCCGTCCCTGGCTCTGCCTCCAAGTCCCGGCCTGCCCCTGCCACTTTCTGGTTCAAGGACTTAGTCTACTTCACTGCTTCTGCCATCTAACTTCTGATAACTGGTAATGAATAACTAAGTAACCAATCAACGTGCACTGTAAAACTAACACAGTGTTCGGGATTTTGTGCAGGCTCAATAAATATTCTGAGTGACATACTGCTTGAAAGACATAAAAGAAAATTGAATAAAATTTTACTTTAAAAACTAAAATTTGTGTCTAAATAATTTTTCTTTATGCAATTGAGGTTTTAATGATATGGTTGGGTCATTAAGTGACTCCCTCTCTATCTAATATGTGGATTTGTAGCAACAGAATCGAGGCCATGACGTCCACATTTTGGAAGAGGGAAAGAATAAGGGACTACTCTTCCAGGTGGCTGAGAAGAGAGCCTGATGCACACCTGGTCTCTGTTGTCCTTTGCTGTATTCCATGCACCTGTTTGTTTGCTTTTATTATTGTTTGTCTTTAACAGTGTCCGGTACAGGGTAAGAGCTCACTAAATAGGTGTGGATGAATAAACGGATTAATCAGTAAGTCAGGAAAAGAGAGAGAAGCACTTCTCCTGAGCACACAGCAGGCGGGAACAGACTGAGACCAGCACAAAGACGTCCACAACCACAGATCTGCAGAGGCTCGGGTGCTGTTGGCTTTAGTTACCACGTTCCTCGCCCTTAAACAAACGGGTGATCAGCACTTGGATCCACGCATCTTTCCATATAAGCGGATGAATTCTTAACCCACTTTGCCACAATGGCAGCCCCAGCACATATGATTTTTGCCAATGCATATAAAAATATAATTTAATTACATTTAACTATAAACTAAAACTAACTTTTCACAGAAAATGTTTTTATCTATCTGTTGGTATACTTTGGTGGATTATAGTAAATGTGACTTTAACAAATAAATATATTAATTCTTACCCATGGCCTGTATCATTCTCTGAATCTATGTCAAGTATTTTTGGGTGAGAAAACAAGTATGTATTGATGACAAGTACAAAACATTTAGTGTTTTGCACTAACTTGTCTTTTTTAATGTATGAGGACAGAGAAGATCTCTCCACAGCAAGCAGAAATTGGGCATGTGGCAAAGAATTAAACTCCTCTCATTTCTTCTCCCAGAGTCAAAACGACTCCGCATCACGTTGTAGCAGACACCTGGGCCTGCAGCGCCGGCCTCACGCCCCTGTGTGCGGACGGTTTGCTCCAGCACCTCCCCGCACTTCCACCGCCTCCTCTTTTCCTAGCATTATGCGCGACACTGGTGTTTGGAGAAAACTGGCCACACTGTGCCCTGCCTTGCCTCTCAGGAAGCAGCTCCCGCGGACAGAGCCTGACAACCTGGATTCAATCCATACAGGATCACACCTGGAGACGACTCCTTCAAGTGACACAAAGAGGTCACACACGTAAGACCGCAGTCAAAACAGATGCCGTGACAATGTGAAGGGGACAAGCCATGGTGTAACCTGCAGAGGTGCGGATGAGGGAGGGAGGGGGAGGCCACCGTGATGCTTTACAACAGAGAAGCCTGGGGCAGAAAAGTCGGGAGTGGATGGGAGACCGTGGGCTCCTCCTCAGACCCGCCCGGGGGCTTCTCCATGGCCACACGCAGAAACACGTCCACGAGGGCGTGGCGCCGCTGAGCCTGACAGAGGATGAAGACCTGGGCTCGGGGCAGAAGCCATGGGATCCTTCAGGGTTCGTGGGAGATGAAGACACTGACCAGGAATTTTAAAGACGTAATGATGATCCAGGAAAAGTCACACGGACTATGTGAAGGGCAGAGGGAAGACCTCGGCACAGAGCCAGGGAAATGCAACTCGGGAGACAGAGGCTTCGCACCAGGCGGAGGGGGGTGAATGGGGACGAGAGCGTGACAGAGAAATAGTCTGGGAGCCAGGGCCTCGGGGTCACTGAAGACACGAGACGAGAGGTGAAGCGTGCAACACAGGTGGATGCAGAGGACTGGGTGCTATGAACATAAACTCACCTACACACACACACACGCATGCACACACACACTTGTATGCACACAGGCACACACACAAGTATGCACACACACACAGGTACACTCATGTGTGTGCACACAGAGGCACACACATGCAGGCACACAGGAATATGCACACACGCAGGTACACTCATGTGTGTGCACACACAGGTACACACATGCAGGCACACATGCGTGCACACACACACATGTATGCACACAGGCACACACATGCAGGCACACAGGAATATGCACACACGCAGGTACACTCATGTGTGTGCAGAGGCACACACATACAGGCACACAGGCACATACATGCAGAGAGGAATACACACCCACATGTGTGCACACATGCAGGCACACTCAGCCCTCCCTGGCTGCACGCAGAGCATGGAAAGTTCCAGTGAAGTCCAAGTGAGGGATGGCAGGGCCAGGAGCTGAGATGCTGCCCGTGCAGTGAGGGACCCGTGGTAGCGGGAGAGGGCTGGGGCTGGGACCTGCACACACAGTGAGGGACCTGTGGTAGTGGGAGAGGGCTGGGGGCTGGGACCTGCACACGCAGTGAGGGACCCGTGGTAGTGGGAGAGGGCTGGGGGCTGGGACCCTGCATATGCAGTGAGGGACCCATGGCAGTGGGAGAGGGCTGGGGGCTGGGACCTGCACACACAGTGAGGGACCCATGGCAGCAGGAGAGGGCTGGGGGCTGGGACCTGCACGTGCAGTGAGGGACCCGTGGCAGTGGGAGAGGGCTGGGGGCTGGGACCTGCACACACAGTGAGGGACCCATGGCAGCAGGAGAGGGCTGGGGGCTGGGACCTGCATATGCAGTGAGGGACCCCTGGTAGCGGGAGAGGGCTGGGGGCTGGGACCTGCACGCGCAGTGAGGGACCTGTGGTAGTGGGAGAGGGCTGGGACCTGCACATGCAGTGAGGGACCTGTGGTAGTGGGAGAGGGCTGGGGGCTGGGACTCTGCACGTGCAGTGAGGGACCCGTGGCAGCGGGAGAGGGCTGGGGGCTAAGATGCTGCACGCAGAGGGTTTGGATGGCCACACCGTGTGAGGAGCAGCTGCGAAGGCAGGAGTCTGGTGAGGAATGTTCTGAAGACTTCCAGCACCAGCTGCGGGCTGTGGAACTCGGGGACCTGTGGGGCCCAGGGTGTGAGGGGCCCTCTGCATCTGGTGGCCAGGTCCCCACTGCGTGAGGGCTTGCAAACCACGGTCAGCTGCCCACACGTATGAGAGGCCACTTTGGAGTTTTGTTTTACCATTTAAAAATGGTAAAGACCAGTGTACACCATGTTCTCTCAGATTTACTTTGGCTTTCACAAAATAAGAACCTACATGTAGCTGAATTTTCAACCAACAGAAGAAAGTTTAGTTATTTTTCCTACTTAAATGCTGTTCAATGACGGGAAAACACCACCACCATCATTCCACTCCAAACTGCGTTTTGAAAGGTCTTTAGTGAATGAGACATGAAACACAATCTATGTTATCTTGCTGTCTTGGCTGTTCAATGGCTGCTTAACAGGAATGGGAGGATACTGACCCAAGATCTTCAACTCGGCATTCGCATAGATGGCCCCGTGTGTGTTTTCAGCTATGCACTGGTACATCCCGGCATTCTCGAAGGTCACGTCATACAGCCTCAGCTCCCCTCTGTGGTACTGCCAAGGACAAAAGCAGAACACAGCCGTGGCAACCAACGCCAGCAGAACCGCGCTCGCCAAAGCTCATCCTCGGACGCTGTGGCTTCAGCTGCCTAGGAGTCGGTGCACCGTGGCAAGTGCCTGGCTCCTGGAGACAGGCCCGGCTGGCACACCAGAGGCTCCTGCACTCTACCCCCTCCCCAGCCAGAGCTGCGCCCCACCGCCCTGACCTCTGGGGCCAGTGGGAGACTCCAGGGAAGGTGAGGAGGCCTGCTGCCTCTGTGGGTAACTCCGCGTCTGCACACCGGGCAGACGGTGGCAAAGCAAGGAGGACAAGGACAACGCCAGGCAGCAGAGACGGGCGAGCAGCAAGAGGGAGAGTAGAACAGAGGACAAAGGAGCAGGCAGGGGCCGGGCAGAGACTGAGAGTCGTGCAGACTTGCTGACCGGAAAGACAGTTGTTAGGAGTCTTCCTATCGCAGGGCTGGGGACCCTCCTCCACTTACCCACCTGCTAATCCGTCGCAGGGTGACCTGGAGACACCGTCTGCCCAGGGGCGCAGGAACCGCACAGCCCTGCTCTGGGACCACTTACCGCGTATCCGTTTTTCAGCCAACGGATGGTCGGGATGGGCTTCCCTGTGGCCACACACGGCCAGTAGAGGTCACTTCCGATGTCCACCTCCGTGTCGTTGATGTGCTCCACCCACTCAGGAAATGCTGCAGGAGAAGGGCGTGGTCAGGACAAAGGGCAGCCTCAGCAAGGACAGGAGTGGACACTGGGCCAGCCCCACTCTGCTGACCGCCTCGGACGCTGACTGGCCTGACAGCAAGTGAGACACACGTGGCGGTGCCCGCACAGGCCACGCCCCTACAGGTGTGACTACCACCATCCTGTAGGTGCCCGCACAGGCCACGCCCCTACGGGTGTGACTACCACCATCCTGTAGGTGCCCCGCACAGGCCACGCCCCTACGGGTGTGACTACCACCATCCTGTAGGTGCCCCGCATAGGCCACACCCCTGGAGGTGTGACAACCACCATCCTGTAGGTGCCCCGCACAGGTCACGTCCCTGCAGGTGTGACTACCACCGTCCTGTAGGTGCCCCGCACAGGCCACGCCCCCACGGGTGTGACTACCACCATCCTGTAGGTGCCCCACACACGCCCCTGCAGGGGTGACAACCACCATCCTGTAGGTGCCCTGCACAGGCCACGTCCCTGCAGGTGTGACAACCACCATCCTGTGGGTGCCCCGCACAGGCCATGCCCCTGCAGGTGTGACAACCACCGTCCTGTAGGTGCCCTGTGCAGGCCACACCCCTGCAGGTGTGACAACCACAGACCTGCAGTCATCACTCTTATTTGCATAAACCTCGTTTGGCTGGGAAGCTACTTCATAATGAGTTCTAACCTTCAGGGTCTGTCGAAATGACCATCACCATTTTAAGCAATCAGTCCCAACTGATGGTGATGTCATCCTCTCACCTTCTGGACAAAGATTCGGGTCTCCTTTAACAAATGACTGATGTCCATTTTTACTTCTATGACAACAGTAATGCACACTTCTTAGTGCGTAAGAGCCTTTTGTAAGGGATTGTTTTTCTCTGACAAAGTTATCTTGGTCCAAGTCCCTGATTCTTCTTTTAAAAACATGTTTAAATTTATGTATTTTGGGGATCTTTCATCTCATGGTTGACCCCCAGATGGCTGGATGGCTGCAATGGCCAGTGCTGGGCCACGTGGAAGCCAGGAGCTTCTTCTGGGTGTCAGGAGGCCAGGTCCTTGGGCCATCAATCCACTGCTTTCTCTGGCCATTAGCAGGAAGCTGGATGGGAAATGGAGCAGCCTGGACATGAATCAGAACCCACATGGAATGCCAGTGTTGCAGGCAGCGACTTTAGCTACACCACAAGGCTGGCCCTGAGTTCTTACACATTAAATACGTTAAACACATTAAATAATGTTTTCTTACACAGTAAAATACCTTCATTCATGGGAAGACTCAAGGCTGAACCCATCTCTTTAACAACCATCACGTGAAACCTGCAGGTCCCAACTGCAGTATTTAACTTACATCCAAGTATTTAGCATACATATACAAAAAAAAAAAAAACAGAAAATACATTTTTTAAATCTTACCCAACCAAACCAACAGCATACAGATATACACACGTGCGCATCCTCCTGTGCATTTTTGTAGTCTATGTCACCAGATTTAGTAAGTTTCCATACTCAGAGCATTTCTTGATAACATACAGAGGAAGTGTTTAGAACTTGGGCACAAGGATCTGTAAACATCAGGTGACAAAGGTTTCACTTTGTGCACAGTCACAGCAGGCCTCTCCTGTCTCGTCCCCACGTGGGCAGAGAGGTCCCCTCTCTGAAACAGGCAGCTGCATTCTATGTCTGGTTTAATTATGTAACTTTCTGGTGGTCTGATTAGAATTAAAGATAAAACTTCATATACCTTATTAATAAAGCAGAAGTAATAGTTCCCTTAAATTTCCTCTCTCCCCTTAGTTCTCCTCTAACATCAGACAGTGCAGAATTCTGCTCTGCTGGGAATGTAGTCTTCTCAACGTGTTGAATGAAAACAGATCCATATTCGTGAGAAACCTGGTAGAATGTGATAGCTTTATTCACAGAATTTAAGGGACAAATCAGAACCTTCCTCCCCATAGAATGACACTTGATGCACTTGATGTGTATCAAGTTAAGTCTCCAGGTCAGTAATCTACAAATGTGAAGTTCAGGCAAAACATCTCGTCTCATCTCTTACCTTAGTAATCATGGATGAGACCATAAAGGGGGCGGGGACTGATGCAGAGAAGAGTTTTAGGGTCCACACCCTGATCAGTCCACTGTTAGACAGGCATGGGGTAGGATACATGGCCCGGGGCAGTGGGCACAGGGTGCAGAGAAGTCCACCCGGCCTGGGCTGCACACGCCAGCTTCACAGACCACCCCCTGATCACTCCGCTGTAGGACAGGCATGGGGTAGGAGGACATGGCATGGGGTGTAGGGAAGTCCACTCGGCCTGGGCTGCAGCTGCCAGGTTCAGAGACCACACCCTGATCACTCCTCTGTAGGACAGGCATGGGGTAGAAGGGCATGGCATGGGGTGTAGGGAAGTCCACCCAGCATGGGCTGCACACGCCAGGTTCAGAGACCACACCCTGATCACTCCGCTGTAGGACAGGCATGGGGTAGGAGGGCACGGCCCTGTGGAGTGGACACGGGGTGTGGGGGGGTCCACCCAGTGTGGGCTGCAGCTGCCAGGTTGAGAGAGCAGGTCGAGGACGAGGGAGGGACCAGCTGTGGTGACTGACACTGCTGGATCACTTAGGACACAACTGAGAGTGCGTCACCAGCTTTCACCCCGCAGTCACTGACGATCATGCAAAGAACGCTTTGGGCGCAGAACGGAGATGCAATCCAACCGGAGCACATTTACGATACAATAGACCTGCAGCTGAAACACTGTTTTGGATTATGTATGACTGTGAAATGTTTCTGATTCCTTCTGGGAGAGCTGGGGAGAAGTCAGAGTCTAAGGGGGAACGGTGCTGCTGAGCCTTCGCTGTTACCCAGTCGGGACCTGCTGGCTGCATGTGGGAGAACATCACAGAGGTGACTTCAGCCTGGAAAGTTTCAGGTGTTGCCTGACAAAAACTCCGTCTTCCTAGATCCAAATTTATTTTAATGCACAAGAATTAAAGACATGTGCCAAGATAATTCTGTCAAGGAAAAACGATCCATCAGACCAGTGGATCTTCCAAGTATGGCTCTGGGACCAGCATCCCCAGATGCTTGTTAAACACACAAATTCCCAAGCCCACAGCAAACTTCTGAAGCAGAAAATCAGAGGGTGGAGGCCAGAAATCCGTGCTTTTACAAGCCCTCCAGGTACTTCTGATACACAGTGGAGTCTGTAACCCACTGCCTTAAACTAAGTCAAAACGCACAGGTTCTTCTACAGATGAAAGAGTTTCGGCGCAGCAGTGAAGACGCAGTGTGAGACGCCCACACCCTGTGTCAAGGTGCCTGGCGTTCAGCACCGGCTCTCACTTCACGTCCAGCTGCCCGCTGACGCACACCCTGGGAGGCAACAGGCGATGGCTCAGGACACTTAGGCACCTTCCACCCTGTGGGAGACCTGGCTACTACAGGCATCTGGGGGAGTGTATCGGCAGACTGGCTGTCTCTTTCCGTCTGATGCCTTTCAAATGAAAATACATAAATCAAGAAGTGTTTTCCATAAAAAGGCAAGGAAGCAAACAAGCCTGCAGTAATTGTGTACTCGGAAAGCCAGCAAGAGCCATCCATCACTGTCAACCGTGAAATACCATCTTAACCACGGTACAAGTTCTTATCTATTCTAAATCCTACTTGTGAATTAATTAGACGTAAGATACATACTTCATCTTTATAATCTACAACACTGTTTTTAAAACCATTAATCACTGGAGAGCAGCCTCCCCAGTACTGCAGCAGTTCTAAGTGAGAGACTGGAGTTACAGAAAAGCAAAGCGGCGCCCTACATTGTACACAGATCTTTGCCTGGTGCTTGTCCCTCCCTCTGATGTTACATATTTCTTCTTTATAATCTACAACACTGTTTTTAATACCGTTAATCACTGGAGAGCAGCCTTCCCAGTACTGCAGCAGTTCTAAGTGAAAGACTGGAGTTACGGAAAAGCAAAGCGGCGCCCTACCTTGCACATAGATCTTTGCCTGGTGCTTGTCCCTCCCTCTGATGTTCTCCGCCTCGCACTCGTACAGGCCTTCGTCTTCCAGCTGAATGTTGATGATCTTGAGGACGGCGCCAGAGGTGCTGATCTCGGCCGTGCTGGGCATCGGTTCCAGAACCTTCCGCCATCGGATATCAGGAACAGGACTTCAAATAGAAGACACAGGAGCTGAAGGCCCACAGTGCTTTGAAGACAATTATTCTGTGTTTACCGCTAAATATTCACATCATCTATTTACTTCCTAGATGTTCACCCATTTCTTTGTGTTGGTAAAAGCACAAGTGGACTTACTTCCCAAGCGCGAAACACTCCAACGTCACGTTCTGGCCCATCAGTGCGTACACGTCCTTGAACTGAACCACGATATCAGCGGGGTACGGCTTTGTCGTCCCTAAATTAAAAACAGCACAGAAGTCCTTGAATTACTACGCACACTGCTATTTGTTCTTTGAACTCTTGACTTTCACAGGGTGAGAACCGCCCCTGGAAGGCAGTGCCCGCCGCGTCTCTGGTTCACACCGCGTACACGGAGCGGGGCTTCAGCAGGCATCTGCAGCGGCGCTGCTCATCCTGACAGCCGCATACGCACCCCGTGAATCTCCAAAGTCCAAGAAGCCATTAGGGAGCATCAAACACACGTCGAAGGAGAGAGCACAGAGAGAGAGGCGAGTGCAGAATGGGAAGGGGGAAAGTGGAGGCGCGTCCACAGAGACGAGGGAAGGGGGAAAGTGGAGACACGTCCACAGAGACGAGGGACAAGGGGACGGGAGGAGCGGAAAACGCGTGTTCAGGCAACATCACGCTCGTCCACACAGACACTCGGGAGTCCCTCACTCAGCATATCCGGAAGGAAGTGCTATTCCCTGCCCCTGCCAGGGGAAGAGACGGGCTCAGAGAGGCTGAATACATTGTGGAGGGTGACAGCGTCAACGTGTACCATCCACTGTCTAAGGTTAAAGAGACAGACAGATACACAGTGACCTGGTACATCAGCCACAAGAAATTGAGGCGCCTGAAGGTGTGCTGGCCATGAGGGATACCCCGAAGCCCACGGAGGCTGGGGAATCTCCCAGATAGTGTCTGAGTGGGACCAGAGCAAGTGAGGAGACAGCATATTGTGAGAAACCCCTGGAGTGTGCAAGGGAAGGTCCAGGGAACCCAGTGCCGTCAGGTGCGTGGAGTCAAAGCTGAGCCTGCACCCACCACCTGGGAGACCTGCGAACATGACCCTGAACATCCCTCCGTGCATTCCTCCATGGGTGGCTACGATGAACCTCAGCCCAACGAAATCATACGGCTTCTGCCTTTCGTTCAGGTAGACCTTGTTGGCAGTTGTATAGGGTAAGGACCGGAGAGGAAAACCACAGGACGTGGAGATGAAAAGGAGGCTGTTTCACTAACACAGGCAGACAGGTAAGTCCCACCTGGCGTGGAGCCACAGTGAGAACAGAACGGAAAGAGAGGGTACAGTTCATATCACAGAGGCAGAATCGAAGGACTGCTCCTTGGATCAAGGTTCCTGCGAGTGTGCGCCATCACCTGGACGCTTCCTGAACATGCAGACTCCCGGACACCCCAAAGCCTGCAGGAGCATCATCTCCGGGTTCCCCCGGGTGTACACACACTGATGAAGAACTGTCCGGGTTCCCCCGGGTGCACACACACTGTTGAAGAACTCTCCGAGTTCCCCCGAGTGTATGCACACTGTTGAAGAACTGTCCGGGTTCCCCCGGGTGTACGCACACTGTTGAAGAACTCTCTGGGTTCCCCCGGGTGTATGCACACTACTGAAGAACTGTCCAGGTTCCCCCGGGGGTATGCACACTACTGAAGAACTGTCCGGGTTCCCCCGGGTGTATGCACACTACTGAAGAATTGTCCAGGTTCCCCCGGGTGTATGCACACTACTGAAGAACTGTCCGGGTTCCCCCGGGTGTACGCACACTGTTGAAGAACTGTCCGGGTTCCCCCGGGGGTATGCACACTGATGAAGAACTGTCCGGGTACCCCCGAGGGTATGCACACTACTGAAGAACTCTCCGGGTTCCCCCGGGTGTATGCACACTACTGAAGAACTGTCCGGGTTCCCCCGGGTGTACGCACACTGTTGAAGAACTGTCCGGGTTTCCCCGGGGGTATGCACACTGATGAAGAACTGTCCGGGTTCCCCCGGGGGTATGCACACTACTGAAGGAAGAACTGTCCGGGTTCCCCCGGGGGTATGCACACTGATGAAGAACTGTCCAGGTTCCCCCGGGTGTATGCACACTACTGAAGAACTGTCCGGGTTCCCCCGGGGGTACGCACACTACTGAAGAACTGTCCGGGTTCCCCCGGGTGTATGCACACTACTGAAGAACTCTCCGGGTTCCCCAGGGGTACGCACACTATTAAAGAAATGTCCGGGTTCCCCCGGGGGTATGCACACTACTGAAGAACTGTCTGGGTTCCCCTGGGGGTATGCACACTGCTGAAGAACTGTCCGGGTTCCCTCGGGTGTATGCACACTACTGAAGAACTGTCCGGGTTCCCCTGGGGGTATGCACACTGATGAAGAACTGTCCGGGTTCCCCTGGGGGTATGCACACTACTGAAGAACTGCTGGGGATCAGCCATTGTGAGGTTCAGGGCAGGAGAGCAGCTGATGCCTGACAGCTCCACCTCGAGCCAGGAAAACGAAAATGGTGTTGCCGAAGGAGCCGAGCTCACCGTGGAGCAGCCTACCGGTCAGGGTAGACCTTCTCAGCTAACTGACCTTGAGCTTAGTGTGGGACAAGTCTGGGACACAGGCAGGGGTAAGGACTGACAGGAAGACAATCTGCAGACTTGAACTGGCAGAGAGCTGTTGTGAGACGGCGAGAACATCCAGGGAAAGATGAGAGAGAAACACGGGCAGGGAGACTATGTGCTGCGGAATGCCTGGCACCTGCTGGAGAGCCCGGCGGGAAAAGGGGGTTCAAGGGCACACGAAGGAGGGGACACTTGCAAGAGGCAGAAAGGACAGGGTCCAGGGTCAGGCAAGCCAGGCTGGACAGTGGCCTCGGGAGGTAGCACACAGGAAGTCAAGGTCACTGGGCTGTTTGCAGTGAGCACGAAAGAATATGCAGTGAGGATGAAGCATGAGAGATTTTGAGGATTAGGAACAGAAAGGCAGTCAGTGAGGTGGTGAGGCTCAGATCTGAACCCAGTCAGTGAGGCAGTGAGGCCCGGATCTGAGCCCGGTCAGTGAGGCAGTGAGGCCCGGATCTGAGCCCGGTCAGTGAGGCGGTGAGGCCCGGATCTGAGCCCGGTCAGTGAGGCGGTGAGGCCCGGATCTGAGCCCGGTCAGTGAGGCGGTGAGGCCCGGGTCTGAACCCCGTCAGTGAGGCGGTGAGGCCCGGATCTGAGCCCAGTCAGTGAGGCGGTGAGCCTGGATCTGAACCCGGTCAGTGAGGCGGTGAGCCTGGATCTGAACCCGGTCAGTGAGGCGGTGAGCCTGGATCTGAACCCGGTCAGTGAGGCGGTGAGGCCCAGATCTGAACCCGGTCAGTGAGGCGGTGAGCCTGGATCTGAACCCGGTCAGTGAGGCGGTGAGCCTGGATCTGAACCCGGTCAGTGAGGCGGTGAGGCCCGGATCTGAGCCCGGTCAGTGAGGCGGTGAGGCCGGATCTGAACCCAGCGGGATGCAGACCACAGCAGCTGGAGGAAAGAGCCTGAGCAGGAGCAGAAATGCTTTGCAGGGAGACAGGAAGTGAGAAAACACACGCAAGTGCTGAGGTTCAAGATCCTGGGCATTTTACAGGCCTGCTCCTTTTCACTATGTGTATCTGCTAAAATGGAGGCGAGAACACCAACAGTATTGAATACCACGGATGTGACTCCCTTGCAGTGAGAGAAAAAAGAGGCATCTCAAGTCTCTCCCCCACTGCCCCAGGGCACGCTCAGGGGAAGGGGCAGGAGCCAGCCTAGGTCTGTCCGCTCCTCCGAGGCTGGACTCATGGCTGTGCTCCCGGCAGCACCAGGATGAACAAAGTGTGAAGGCCAGGTGAGGCGGCAGCGGCCACAGCACGCGGCACTGCACGGGTGGCACCAGTGCCAACCACCTGGAGTGGAAAAAGCAGCTTGCTTGAGTCATGTATACAGTTCCTCCAAAATATCTAAGTATCAAACTGCCTTTCCCCTAATCCTGCGGTCACTGCTCCTGGTTCGGATGTAACCTCTTGGTCTCTGGGACTTCAGGAGGAAGCAGGAATGGCCACAGACAACAAGCGGATGTCAGCGATCTCTGCTGTGACCCACACACAGGCGCTGATGAGTGACTCCGTCCTCCGTTATCTCCTAGACTAGAGGCAACGACTGGAAGCTGACCATCTGGGCAGCTGTACAAGACGACGCTTCTCAACCCCGAACGTTCAGGATCAAGCTCCGGCTGCACTCCAAGCACATGCTGTCTGTACGGTCCTGCCAGTGCTGGCGGCCGGTGTCCCTACTACACCTTCCTTCTCATGGCGCTAAGCACGCCGCAGGGAGACAACCTCGCAAAAACAGACTGCAGCACACAAAACACTTACGTTCGGGTATCGGGATGAGCGGGATGAATTTGCTGAACACGCTCTTCGTGATGGAAGGGCTGGACACAAAGCAGGAGTAGTTGCCCTTGTCCGAAGACTCCACATTCGCAATGTAGAGATTTCCATTCGTCTGGGACACAAATCTTCGCTTATCCATTGTGATGAATACCGGGAATTCATTCAGAAGCCAGCGGTAGCTAAGATCATCTACGAGAAAATGTTGCCTAATAAGTTTTTTTTTTTTTTTTTTGACAGGCAGAGTGGACAGTGAGAGAGAGAGACAGAGAGAAAGGTCTTCCTTTTGCCGTTGGTTCACCCTCCAATGGCAGCTGCGGACGGCGCACCGCGCTGATCCGATGGCAGGAGCCAGGAGCCAGGTGCTTCTCCTGGTCTCCCATGGGGTGCAGGGCCCAAGCACTTGGGCCATCCTCCACTGCACTCCCTGGCCACAGCAGAGAGCTGGCCTGGAAGAGGGGCAACCAGGACAGAATCCGGCGCCGCAACCGGGACTAGAACCCGGTGTGCCGGTGCCGCAAGGCGGAGGATTAGCCTAGTGAGCCGCGGCGCCGGCCCGCCTAATAAGTATTAAAAGCATTTTGTTTCGAGGAACTGAACCACCAGGGCATTGTTAAGCAAAGGTCAGGAGGAAGCCAAGACACTTCGTGCAGATTTTCCTACTGTGCTCAGTTTGTGTACCCTGTGTAACCTGGTGCTGAGCCATTGCATGTATTCAGTGCTCTCTGTCTTTTAGTTTCTGGGCTATTAATATTCTTACTTTCATTTCATTCCTGAGCCAGGGGAAAGCCCAAAGAGGTTAAACAAATTGCTTAGAGTCTCATGACCATTAAGTAGAACCAGGATTCTGAATGCAGGTCTAATAATTACAAAGTGCATGAGGGTTTGCCTTACTGAATTTTAAATTAAACTCCAGATGACTTACCATACTGTGGCTTTGTCTCTTTTATCTTCGAGCACTCCTATTTTAAAACTGTGTTTGGGTAAAAACAGAGTTCCTACAACCTGTTGTAGTCACATTTAAAGGTGAAAGCCACAGGAACACAGCAAAGCAATCAGGGATATTCTTCAGCTTTAGGAAACATATAACATGGCTGAAGATTTTATGGTGCAAATTCCTTGGGGTAACATACTAACCAGGTACACCAAACACTGATTGTTCCTCTTAATTTGCTCAGTTTCCCTAGAGTTTTATCTCCTCTCCTCTCCTCCCCAGCAGTCACTCAACAAATACATGAGATGAACTTCCAGGTCACAGAATGACTGCCTTAAAACACCTGAGCTCGTCAAGTTGACAAGCACTGGCAGCGAGTGTGCACTGCTCACCTCCCGGGCCAGGCAGGACAGGACTTCACTTCTCCCTGCACTCCGCAGTCACGGCTGATGAAATAACCATGACAAGCAGGTGACTGGTAAAAGCTGCCAACAGTGTGAAAGGGAACCCAAAGCAAATCACTCTACAGCAACTCCGACTGACAGGGCATAATAACTCAGGGGTTTCATTTAGATTAGCTCTGTCACTTTCTTCTCCATTTTTATGATTTATTAGAGTTACAGAGAGAGAGGGAATCACATAGAGATCTTCCATCTGCTGCTTCACTCCCCAGATGCCCAGGACTTGCCCAGGATGAAGCCAGGAACCAGGAGTTTCATCCAGGTCTCCCATGCAGGGGGGAAGGGTCCACACACTTGGGCCATCTTCCACTGCCCTCCCAGGTGAACGTGAAAGAGCCGGGCCTTGAACCAGTGCACATATGGGATGCCAGTGTCGCATGTGGCAGCCTCACCTGCTAGACCACAGTGCTGGCCCCAGCTATGTAATTTTCTTCAGCAACACATAGCACAAGGAAACACAATGAAGATGGTTAAATTAGTTTAATTTCACATCATTTCGTCATTGAAGCGGTATATACATATAGATACATATGTTCACTGGTTAAACAATATAAAGTGTAAAGGAGGAAGAGGGCTAGGAATTTGGTGCCGTAGTTAAGCCACTGCCAGCGACACCCAGATCCCATATCAGAGCGAAGGTTCAAGTCGCAGCTGCTGTTTCCAATCAAGCCTCGGCTCATGCACGTCCCTGGGAGTAGATGTCGGCCCAGGTACTGGGTCCCTGCACCCACGCGGGAGACTGGACGGAGTTCCAGGCCCCTGTCCTGACTCAGCCTGGCCCAGCCTTGACTGCTGCAGGTGTTTGGGGAGTGAAGCAGTGCATGGAAGATCTCTCTCTCTCTCTCTCTCTCGTTCTCTCTCTCAACCTCTGTGTGTGCGTGTGTGTGTCTGCCTTTCAAACAAAATGAAAATAAAAATTCAAAGAAGAAGAAATCAATCCGCCATCTTCAGTCCCTACCTCAGAGTCTCTGATAACCTATGCCTTTTTCGATACTTAGGTCTGAGTGATCACACTACGTGCGTTACCTTTATAATTTAGGGTCACAAAAGCAAAAAGATAAGAAAAAATTCAGGGGGCTGCTTAGAATTCTGATATGACAGCATCCTGAGTTCACCACAAGTACCTTATTCAGAAACAAGTATCATGCCTTTTGTCCCATCTGATATTCAAGTTTTAAAAGTTTCAATTCTGACCTCTTCTGATTCAGAAATAATGTGTCTGTTTCCCATTCAAATGGAAATCAACATTTTGCAATGATTTTTGGTAACAAACTGCAAAAACGTGAAAATGCCAGGGAAGTCAAAGCATCTCCTTACTGAACCAGGCGCCGCGGTGCCCTGGCACACACTGAGAGCGATCGAGCAGTCTGACTTCACAGCGGCCGTGCGGACGGAGAAAGCTGGGTACATTCTACACATGCGTCTCAGCAGGCACACAGCACGACTGTTTCCCATAAGACACTGCTTTGGTAAGGTTGTTACACTCACGTTTACATGAACTAAGCGCCAGGGTAAAGGACAGTTGGTCTGACTTAACACCCAACCCGGATTCTCTAACTCATTTACTTTATGGAAACTGAGCGTGTCCCCTGTGTTGCTAGGTCTCTGTCTCTCGTCTCAATTTATCTAGCACACTTCAGCCTATCAACAAGGCCACCCGTTTGGATAAAATGATAGTAACCGCAGAAGGCTACTGTAAGTTGCAGCAAGTGTAATGAGACGCAGACCACCACTGAACACAGGTGGGGATGGCTGCTGCCATGTTTAAGTGAGGAAGCCAAGGCCTTGCCAGTGCAGTGACTTCCCTAAGGGCTCTCAGCGACGGGGACAGACCTCACGTCCCAACCTCCTTGCTCCCCCACTGTCACCATCACACGCTGCGCCCAGGGGGAGGTGCCCGCTGCCCTGCCTCCCTGGCTGCAACATGAAGCCGAATCTTGACCAACACAAGCTGACCCCTAACCCCGTTCTCCGAAAGACTCCATGAAGGTTTCCTCACGGCCATGGCTCTCCTAGTCCCATGCTGACGACCTAATCAACTCTCTGGGGTGAAAGCCGTCATCTACTTTCCTGCTAGCAATGCAGACGAGACCGCCTAACGCATGGCTCTGAAGGCGACGTTGCAGGGGACCAAGTGCCAGCACGTCGGGAAGAAATGTCGGCAGGACAATGAGACCGCTCTGCTGCCTCACGAGAGCCTGGACCCACAGTGTCACAGGGGAAACTGGTTTTGGCCACTACAGTGCGTTTGGCTAAGGCTACTGGCTCCTCTGAGTGACATCACTCACTAACCTGCTGAATTATGTATCTTCCTCTTGTAAATACACTTAAACTACATTTGTGCGCCCTGGAGGAATTACTGGGAAACTTTTTAGAAGATTTTTCCATTTTCTTAAAAAGCAGCTGCAGAATTTACCTGTATCAACAAGATCGCCACAGCTTCTGGCCAGTGCCTCAGTGTAAATGAGTACACACCAGGCACGCTGAGAGAGATATTTCCACCAGGCTCGGCCAGGACTGGGAGCTCAGGCGGGACCTACGGGGCTGCACTCACCTCCGCTCTCCTCCACTCTCCGCCTGACTCTTCATCACATGCAAAAGCCAGATTTTGTTTCCCTTAAGGGTACGCCCACCTTCTTGTCCCTTTTTAAATTCGCAGATGTACCTATTTTTAGGTATTTCACACTTCATCAATAGCACCCACAGTATAATAATGAGGCTGCAAGTTTTTCCCCTTCATTTTCTCTCACACGATATATAAAGACATAATTTATGTTTTGTGAAATCAGTAATTGCATTTCTGATGGTTATATTGACAAAAAATAGCTGGAAATTAAAGCATTATGTCTTCACTTTTGGAAGTCTAGAGGCTTAAAAACGTACATGCAATATGATTTACTGGAATATAATAAAACGTAAAATGAACGTTTACATTTTCATGGGATCAATGCCTACACTCAACCAATTTAATGAATAAATTTGTTACTTTCACTCTCTCGCTCCCTCATGCTTCAGATATTCGCTGAGCTCTTACTTTGTGCTGGACATCACGTTGTCACACATCAAACGTCATGAAGTTGAATATACATGAAAGTGTGCTTGAGGCTGCTTTATGAAAAAGGAAACTCGCTGGAGTCAGACTTTTCCCCTTTGTAAGCAACAGCAGAGCACGTAATTGAGAGAAAACCGCTACACATCACGGACGACGGCCCAGCTCCTCCGGAGTCTCTATCCTCGGAAGCCTGTGAGAGCAGTGGCATCCCGGGAATCCTGAATCAAAAGACTGCAGTGTAGCAGGACGCACTGATCACAACAGATCCAAAACCTGAGCACACTGAGATGCACCTCAGTGATCACCCACTGAAACTGCACACGTGTTTTATCATTTTCAAGTGGATTTCTAAATCTGAAAGCCATTAAAGACTGTGCAACGCAGGTCCACGGATTCTATGGCTTGTATGTTCTCAGTGACGGAATTAAGACATTGACCAGTCGTACTAAGGACTGAATCTCAGGCCACCAACTGGGCCGACAGGGTGTGGAGGGTCAGACCCGGCTTCCTTTGCCAGTACGATTGTACACTTCACTGCGTAAGGCTTAACCGAAATGCATTAGGCAGGAGAATGTACACCACTCACACACACATAAACACACAAATATACATACACATCCATGCACACATGCACACATACACACACACATGCTATGCCTTAGGAAGCAGATGTCTGCTCTTGTATGTGTTCAACATGGGATACCTAATGTTCACAGGTTTCGAAAACTGCTGATGACATGAGCTGACTACTCAGAATTTAGTCTGTAAATAACGATGCTTCCTGGAGTCATTTAAAAGCCCGCTGATTCTGTGTCATGTCCATGTAACTGCACTGTCATTATGGGATGTAGAAGGGAGTGACTCTGCCTGCAGCTCAGGGGTTCTCAGCTTCTACCAACATGTTGTGATCCATGAAATCCTCCAATCAACACAGATGCCACAGGCAGGGAAGCAAGGCTCTCCGTGGACAAAGCTCAGAGCCTCCGCCCTCTTCCTCTCTCTGCCTGTCTAATCCCATCCCGCAGGTCACCAGTCTCATGGCTCAGGTACTCCCAGCTCAGAGATGTACACACATCCCGAGGCGCCCACCTGACCTGCACGTGATGTTCAATAGACTTGGCCCTGAACTCGCCAACGCCTGCTCTCAGCTACGTACGGGAGCTCTTTCTCTCAGGAGCTCGTGCAGCCTGAATGCCGACACAGGCTCCTGGGTTCTCTTACATTTCCCGTACGGCCTACTAGCGAGGCCTCTTTGCTCCTTCTTCAAAGACTTTCTAGAATTTAACCCAAATATATCTGGAATTAAACAAAGAATTGCTTGTTAATATAGAACGAATCTAGCGTTATCAGAATTACCTTCTGGCTCCATCGATGCTACCGAGGTTATCACAATATCGCTTACCTGCTCTCCTGCTGCCCGCTTTGCCCACCACCTACTGTTCTCTGAGATCAGTCGCTAGACCCATCTGTGTAAAACCCGAGTCATGTGACAGGCTGCCTCTGCTCAGAGCCCTCAGTGTAAAGTCCTCCACATACAGCCCTGTGCCTCTCATCTTCCTTCTCCCACCTCCCTCTGCCTTCCTGCTCCCCAGCAGCGCCCTGGCCTCCTGGCTCTGCCACGGCCCCACCTGCACCTGCTGCCCGCCCCATCTGTCAGGTACATCCTCCCTCAGAACCACGGACTGCCAGCTCCTTCTTTGCCTTTAGGTTTTTGTTTTTTGTTTGTTTGTTTGTTTTGTTTGTTTGTTTTGACAGGCAGAGTGGATAGTGAGAGAGAAAGACAGAGAGAAAGGTCTTCCTTTGCCTTTGGTTCACCCTTCAATAGCTGCCGCGGCCGGCGCACTGCGGCCGGTGCACCACACTGATCCAAAGGCAGGAGCCAGGTACTTCTCCTGGTCTCCCATGGGGTGCAGGGCCCAAGCACTTGGGCCATCCTCCACTGCACTCCCTGGCCACAGCAGAGAGCTGGCCTGGAAGAGGGGCAACCAGGACAGAATCCGGCTCCCCGACCGGAACTAGAACTCGGTGTGCCGGCGCCGCAAGGCAGAGGAATAGCCTAGTGAGCTGTGGAGCTGGCTTGCCTTTAGGTCTTAACCCCAAGTTGCCTTCTCAGTTCACCTCGCTGTATCACTTCCTCTCCCTCGGTCCCTGCACCCCTTCTTCCTGCTAGCACCCACCCCTCAGTATCTAACAAGTGCTCTCTTTCTTTAGCGGTTGATCTTACTGTCTGTCCCTCCCAGGGCAGGCTGGCTGCGGGCTGGCAGCTGCCCCTGCGTTGCTCCATGGAGGCACTCCTGGGGCACACACCCGTGCCTGGTACACAGGACGTGCTCACAGACTTGCTGATGGAATGAAACCTGCCCAGCCTTGGATGGGGTCAAATGTGGCCCCAGGCTACTTACAGCACTTGTTTTGTTTGTGGAAACCCCATAAAGAAGAAAAAAATTTTTCCACTGAAAGATTATTTCAACATTTTGAATTTCATGTTTCTCCTATGTTTATAAAGTAACCACCATGACCAGCACTCGATACTTAAGCAGCCAGTATGACATACATGGTCCCTGCTTCAGGCCTCTGCTCTTGTGAGAATACATATGTGTACAACTTTGTGTGAAATAAATGTTTGTGTGTGTATGACCCCACACCCATAAACCAGATGGATGTATTCTTCACAAACTGAGTTACAATAGTCTATGTTTCATTCTCTACGGAGGTGTTTACAGTCGAGTTTTTGACATAGTATTAGAACTGCAAGAAAAAGAAAACATTTCGCATTGCAAATAATATTCGTATTATTTCAAGGAATATTTGATAAATTAAACCAGTGGAAACTGGTGACAGCATAGGATACATTCATCTTTTAACCAGCACTGTGATGGCTTTACCTTTGCTATACTGAATTCTAGAAGACTTATATCGGAGCTGAGTCTCACCACGGATGACGCCTGACCTAACCTCAATCCTGGGGCGGGTGACGATGGCTGCAGGTCAGTGCACCTAAAGATCAACGCCCCTTTCCAACGTTCAGTTCACTGGGTGGGGTGACTTCAGAAAGTCCACGGAAAATGGAATTAGAAGACAATTTTATTTGGGGGCAAAGCATTTTGAAATCCAGGTACAGTTTTTCGTAATATGCATTTTCATTAATGTTTTGGAGACCCCTTGTATGCATGGATTTCATTTTTTTGTGTGTTAGAATAAATTTATCTTTTCATTTTCCTAAACTTTTAGAGCACCCTCTTATATGCAGCTGTTAAGTTATTAATACAATGACTGGTTACACTTCATTCCTTGGTACTGTTCCATTTCAAGAAATAATTCCAAGGGAGTCTATCGCAATCCTCCCTAGCAGTAGGGGCTTTAATGAGGATACAGTCCAACAGCTGTAAGTGGCAATGTTCAGAGACCCTTGGGATGGGGGCCCTGTGAGTAATGAGCCAAGAAGGCCAGGGGCAGGGTCTAGATGCACTGGAAAGGGATGCAAATACGCAGTGTAATGTTCTTTATAATGAGCCCTGACTGTAAGGCTCATGAGGTCATTCACAATGTCCCATCAGCACCGTGAGCAGCGAAGCCCGCCCCGTCCTGTGGCTGGTGTGCGCAGCCGCAGAGCAGTGGCTTACCTGGGAAGTGGTACGGGGGGTCGCACAGGAGCACCATCCCCTTCCCCTCCTTCACTCTGACTTCAGGACGTTCCTCGGGTGGGAAAGGATCCAGATCTGGTGACAGAAGAGAAAAGGAAAATAATCACTCTCTGGGCAACAGAAAGGGAGACCTGCATTGGGCGAGACCCGCCGGAAACTCGCCCACTTCCGAGACGCGGAGCAGTGCCTCTAGGCTGGTGTGGTGAACCCCGGCAAAGCCCACTGGCTTTTACACGTGGACGTTTGCCCCCATGGTAAGGAGTTCCGCCAGGAGCTTGAAGCCTGCAGAGACTGGGAGCAGCCTGCAGAGAACTCTGACAACCCTGAAGGTCACAGGTCTCTGAAGGCTTTGTTTCCAGTTGCAGGGACATCTCAGCGAGGGTATCTACAGAGACAAGTGGTCAGACAAACCCAGGGAATCTTCCAACCAAAGTCAGGGCGACTCAGAGGAATGGACCCATTGCAAGGGTTACAGGTCTCTTCCCAGTGGACGACCTGAAGACTGGGGGAGAGGGAGGGAGGGAGGGAGGGAGGGAGAGGAGGGAGGAGAGGGAGGGAGGGAGGGAGGAAAGAGGTAGCGCCCTGGCTGTAGAATGCGAAAGCGACCAACCTCTTGATCCTCTGCAAACACTGGGTTTGCCGCTGTTCTTTCTTCCACTCTTCACTGTGCACCGCGAGCCCACACTTCCTGTCCATTTGGAGCTCACAATTTTCTTGATTCCCTGATACTCTACTAATTCCCATTCCTCCTTTGTCTCACTAACTCTCACCTGTGTCAGTCCGTCTCCTTATCTCTGCCAAGTGAGGAAAAACCGTACAGCTCATTTTTCACTTCTTTCCGTATCTAGCCCACCTCTGAAAAGCCGTCTGTCCCAGTGGTTGCCTTTTCACTGAGGAGCTGTCAAAGCCAAGTTCCTTAACCGGCCACCTCTACCCTCAGCCACTCGCCTGACATTCCCACTGGCATAACAATGCTGCCTGCACCTGGAACAATGTTTCAGTGCTGTCTCCAAGTGAAACCAGCGTAGAAAAGAGTTACCTGTACATGTTTATGGCAGCTAAATTCACAATAGCCAAGATATGGAATCAACCCAGAGGCCCGTCAACTGAAGACTGGATCAAGAAATTATGGGATATATACACCAGGACTACCATAGAGAAGTTAAAAAAAAAAAAAAAAGCAAAGCAAAGCAATCCTGTTGTTTCCAGCAAAATGGACTCAAATGGAAAACATCACACTCAGTGAAATAAGGCAGTCCCAAAAAGATAAATACCGTGTGTTCTCCCTGATCTGCGGTAACTATAGAGCACCTAAAAGGTCATCTATAGAGGTGAGATTGACACTCTGAGATGGGATGACTTTGAATAGCCCTTGACTGCTGTTTTCTTTTCTTTTTTTTTAACTAATATTTGCTGAACTCTGTACTTAATGTAGGGTTAATGTTATGTGTATAAAGTTAATTGAAGATTGATCTTAGTAAAATATAAGACTGGGAACAGGAGAGGGAGGAGGAAGAAGGGTGGGCGTGGGAGTGGGATGAGGGCAGGGTGGGAAGAACCACTAGGCTCCTGAGCTTGCATGTGTGAAGTGCATGAAGTCTGCACCCCTTCAATCGAAGGTTTCTCGGGTAAGACGCTGCCTCCCCTCCCTGACCCTGGTTGGTCTTGCTCCTTCCCACTTCCAGCGAGAGCAGTTTTCTGCCCGTGACGAGGCTCTCCCTTCCCTCCGTGGGATGCGATCGGCAGCTCACTCTGTGGCACCAGTGCGCAGTTACGGTCCCACACGGCCCTGCACTAGCGAGATCCCCGCCTCGCCATCACTAGCAATGGAAGGACCTCCTAACCCACTGCTTCCTCCTACAATCTGTCCTCCAGAGGATTTAAATGCTGACTTACAAAATCACAAACCGGATTTAAAAACCAGGAGAAAAACGGGTGTAAGATCATCTGGGCCAACTCATCTCCTAATGTATACTTGTCTTTAAGAACAACCTTGAACTTCTAGCATAGCACAGTTTCTCAAAAATCTTTTTTATTATTATTTTCATTATCCCATAAAGGTATTTTCAATTAATTTAAATTGAAAAAAATAACGAATTTTAAGGTACTTTATTCCTGCTGAGGACTGGGCGTTTGATACGGAGCTGAAGATGCAGCTTGGAAAGTCTGCTTGCATAAGGGAGAACCTGCATTCATGACCCAGCTCCAGCTGCCTGCTACTGTGCACCCTAGAGGGCAGCAGGGGACGGTTCAGTACTTGGTCCCTACCACCCAAGTGGAAGAGCCAGACTTAGTTCCCAAATCCTGGCTTCGGCTCAGCGAATCCCCAGACACTGCGTCAGTCTGGGGAGAGGGGCAGCAGACGCAGATTCCTCTTTCTGTCTGTGTCCCCCACCCCCCGTGCCCAATGCCTTTCAAATTTTGTTTTTAAAAAACAGAAATTAAATACTAACATGTAAATTCTGTCAAGTAGGGCTGAGTTTGGGAAAGTCCAACACCATTCTTTTTTTGTTTTGTTTTGTTTTGTTTTTTGACAGGCAGAGTGGACAGTGAGAGAGAGAGAGACAGAGAGAAAGGTCTTCCTTTTGCCATTGGTTCACCCTCCAATGGCCGCCGCAGCCGGCGCACTGTGGCCGGCACACTGTGGCCAGCGCACCGCGCTGATCCAAAGGCAGGAGCCAGGTGCTTCTCCTGGTATCCCATGGGGTGCAGGGCCCAAGCACTTGGGCCATCCTCCACTGCACTCCCCGGCCACAGCAGAGAGCTGGCCTGGAAGAGGGGCAACCGGGACAGAATCCGGCGCCCCGACCAGGACTAGAACCCAGTGTGCCGGCGCCACTAGGCGGAGGATTAGCCTAGTGAGCCGCGGCGCCGGCCCAACAGCATTCTGTTATGATGTCTTTACCCATTCTTACCAACCTGGGTGGTGACTGTGTCTCACTGAGTAGCAGGGCTTTATATTTCCATCTACCTACTTTTTTTAAAGACTCACTCAAGATCCCTCAGGAAAATAAACTCAGGCAGCTCACTCAGCCCTTAGTTTATTTCGCAACGTGGTTTTCCAGTATTTCAGCTACATCAGTAATTGGTTGCTCGCATCCTGGGGGACCCACCTCCTTGACGGCTGCCTCCTCTCTCTGCCCCGTCTCCCTGACCTCTCTTCTTGCTGAACTCTCACGGCAGCGGACCCCGATTTGTATTTGGCAAGCCAGGACGGAGGTCCAGCTCCGTAACTGAAAACTCCCACCTACGTGTGACTCCTCTTATGGCCAACGATGTGCACCTGCGCGAGGGGAGGGACTGTGTCTTTGTCAACATCCCACCCACAGGCACTGGGGACTTCTGTTGGGATGGGGGCGGGCAGTGTCCATTTTCTCCGGGAGAAGTTCACCAGTGGATTTTTAACAAGAGAAAAAGCCAACGGCGGACCATTCACTATACAAATAGCTCCGTAGTTGATGCGGCTTTTCCACCGACAGGTAACAAACACACGCCCAGCGGCCACGGCACCTCCAGGTCCTGGCCCTTTCTCCAAGTGCAGGTACTCACATCCAAAGCTCAGGGTGGCCTCCGTGCTCCTGACCATGCCGTAGTTGTTGGAGGCCAGGCAGTAGTACACGCCGGCATCTTTCTGCTTGTCAGGGTTGTTGATGACCAGGTTTCCTCCTACCATGCTGTATCGGTCACTTGTCAGGTCCACGTCACCATTATTCATCCTCCATCTATGAGAAAGAGATGCCAATGTCACGTCAAAGGTCAGGAGGCCTGCAAACTCTGCTGGGCTAACGTCATTCTGAATAATTGGAGTCTAGCTCCATGCAAGGTCCAATGATGAAGTGCATGAGTAGGGACTACATTTCTTCCCGCCCTTAATTCTGTCTCTGGGACCAGGATTGATCTTTTCACTGAGGTACAAGCAAACACATGTTAAAGTGTGTGACATACTTGCCTTTTTAAAAAAATGACTAATAGTTTGTTGAGTTTTGCCTCATAAATTCATTTCTTAGTAGGTGTACATGGGCTATAATGGATAACCTTCTATGTGCTCATAGGAATCACCCGTAACAGATCTGTCACATAAAACACTGAAACCATTACTCCATCAGAAAGCACAATTCAGAATACCAACATCTGATTCTGAATGGCACAGTAAGTTCTCACGAGAACACAGGAATCAGAGATGTGCACAACGAATTGATATTTCGACCACTAGGGGACAATCACGCAGTCTGAAAGGGATCACACCCAGCTGATCTGGGTCCATGCTGCAGATACATGAATGAGACCAGACTTCCCCCAGTGGAGAGTTGATTGTTCTTTGTGTCTTTTCTCAATAGCTAAGGGTTATTTTTGGTAAAGGGATCTCTTCATCACATAATCCCAGACAGGTTTCCAACAAGCAGACCATCGGACCACAGGGACTGCATTAGAAACCAGTGGACTAGAAACAGGGCTCTAACTTTGCTGGCGGTCGATGACAATGTGTGTAGAACACAGGTTCTCACTCAGGTGAACTCTTGTATGGCTTCCCGATCATTCCGAGCCAGGGTCTACCTGGGAAGAGACCAAGTCCCCTGGAAGGTCGAAAGGCAGTCCAGTGAAGCCCTGTGCCCACATCACTCACTGCCTGGAGTAAGAATCGTGACACAACAGCCCAGTGATTTTAGAACATCTTTTACTAAGTCAAAGCTATGGGAGCATTTCTAGTTACGATTTCTACAACATAAGAAGCGGACTCTAGAAGCAAGCCTAGATAACTGTGTTTTTGCATTTTTCACACCTATCCAATTCCAGGCCACTAAAGGAACCATCCTCACCCTCCCCTGTTGATGGCAGTATTGCTCCTGCCTGAAACACCCAGGCAGAGGGGCTCACACAGGCAGCTCCAGCTCCTGGGAGGCTTCCCCTCATTGTGTTGGCTTGAAATATTTAGTTATTGCCTGAAAATCCTCCCCATGGGTCTGATTCTGCCTATGATGTCATGAAATGATTAAGTTCTTCACTGCTTGGGTAAGTCCCCTGGTCTTTGAGGATTTTAAGAAATGGATGCTACTGTTGCCATCCTTTTAACACTGCATTAGACACGGTGCTGGTGCAGTGCGTGCTCCCCTGGGGGTGGGGTGACGCTGAGCAGTGAGAAGCAAAGTTCCCAGCTGGCCCTCTCAGAATGTCATCATGACAGCACCACCCAGACCCTGCTGTAAGTACACAACCGCCCTGTGAATTATGCGCCACTGCCAAGAGTAGTACGGCTTGCTCTGACAAGCTGGCCAATTTTAAAAGCTCCAGGTACTCTTGGCCATCACTCTAAGTGCATCATGAGCTGTTTTCTTTCTCTTTTCTCTTGTCTTTCTCTCTTTTCCTTTTTGCTGTCAAACACGGGATGTGTCTCCTCCAGCTCTGTCTGTCAAGGTAAAGACAGTCGGGTCATAGTCAACCTAAGGTTGTCAAGGCCAGGGAGACTGAGACAGGGAGCTCCAGAGCTCTGCCTCTCACTCTGTCTGTGGGCGAGGGGGGAGGGGACAGGAGAGGGTCACCTTGTCCCCCGTCAGAACACCAGGGGAGAACATCGCCCGTCACCTCCGTTCCAGCTGCAGGCTGATGCGCTGAGGGGTGCCATGCAGGAGTTCCGGGGAGAAACTCAGAGAACCAGCCTCGCCTGGAGCTGCTCCCCAGGTTCTACCCCTCTATCTACACAGAGAAATCCTGAAAACGGGCAGACATCTTTGGAAATCATAAAGCCTGCACTTCAGCCCCGAGTCGGTGACCTCCTACTCAAGCCAGGTGACCTACTCAGGACTCTGCTTCCTGTCCTGTAAAACTGCGACAGTGTAGGCTCCTGCACGGCCCCTGCTGGTCTGGCCGCTCCAGATTCCTGTCCATGAAGACAGGCTCCTTCAGGCTTGGCTCAGAGCAGAAATAGGGCTCGGCCATCGAAGGTGTTCAGAGCAAATGTGTTCTCCAGGATTTATAAAACGCTACTGGTACTGCACTCTCATGCATGAAATTGAAGCAATAAAGATAATTTCAAAGAGATACTGACTTTGTATTTAAGTTCATATTTTAAGAATACTTTTTGTAATTATAGCCAGAGGCAAAAGAAAATGAGTGCAGTTAGAATCAAATGGAGGTAAAGAGGTATCCCCTTGATAACAAGATTTTACAAAAACAGAAAGCTATTTTTCTATCCAGGAAAAAAAATCTACTAAAATCAACCTCTCTTAATGACAACCTTCAAGTTAGTCAGGTGGCATAGACACACAAGAGCCTCCAATTTCCCCATCAATCACTGGCTGTGTCTTTATGGAATCGTTTTGAAAGTGAAACTGGAATCCACAGGCACTCGGTTAATGTTTGACTCCTATTCACCGCACTGGACTGGAAACTATTAACACACTTTTAGCAACCATCTGATAAAGGAAAACCATTTGCTACCTTTTATACAGTCATTTTTGATAGCATCAATTTGTAACCCAGAAGAACAGAGATATAATTTTATAGGCTGACCAGCAAGCAGAGGTACTGAAGAAATTTACTGTGTTGTCTCGAATGCAGATTTGAGAACACTGAAAAGGTGATGCTTTCTAGAATAACCTTTACAATTTTTAAAAATAGGATCATACAGGAATATCATTCATCATCATCTCTAGGCTTGAGTCACCCAGGCCAATACTTGGGAAAAAAATTTTATCCTCAAAGCTGCATCTTTTAATTCTGCATGATTTTCATGTAACCCTTCGCAGGCTGAGAAGCAGAACCTCCACCAGACACACTTTAAGCGGATGAGGCCAGATGCCGCGGGCACTGTCTGTGCCGGGACTGTGAGTTATCTGCACATATTTAAGTGAAGCTACTATGTATTTGGCATCAGACAACATTCTTGAACAGCTGTTATGCCAGTATCTGCGCTCCTCTGCAAGGACTTTGTAGAGAGCTTTGTGTTCTGGATTCCCCACGGCACAGGACATCGCTGCTGGTCTGCAACCCTCCGCCCGGCCCCCCACTCTGAAGACAGCAGCGAGCACCTTACTTGTACACAGGGAAGGGGCTGGCCCGCGCCCGGCAGTTCAGCGACACTTTGCCTTCCAGCGACTCCTCTGGGTAAATAGTATTGATCGGCTGTTCTTCAAAAATTGGTCCAAACCCTTTGTCTTCCTCAGAAACTGCAAAAACAAGAACACTGTTTTACATTGTGGCATTTTAGAAGCCAAAGCAAATCTGCATATATTGAGAAAAGTATTTGAAAAAAACCCAGAAACATTTTAATTAAAACAAAAACCGCGCCTCCACAGTTGTGGAGAAGACGCTGGAGTCCTGTATTCGTAATTCTTCTCTGCACTTCAGGCACCACTGCCCTGAAAGCTGTGGACAGCCCTGGTCTGTCCCCCTTAGCTGCAGAGTTCTGCACCCTGAGCCCTCGCACACGCTCTGCTTCTCTCTAGCATTGCCAGCAAGAATGTCCTCTTGCTGTGAAGACCTGCTAGCCCTTGATGCTCTAGCCACAGGCTCAGATGCTTCAAGACACACTCGCACCCCTACAGGTTTCAGCCGGTCCCCTTGGGTGTCACCACAGTCCCCACACAGGCCATGGCACTGAGCACCCCCACCGGGATCCTTCACTTCCTGTTCCACTAGGTGTGTGGACACAGCAGCCCTGCCTTTAATCTCCTTGCACCACTCTGTAAGCCAGCAGCCCAGCTGTCTGGAACAGAAGAGATGCTTAATGATCTTTACTAAGAGAATGAAGAAACACCGGGATTTGAGGTGTTCTGGGGAACTGGTCTCCTTCCTGGACCCATCTTTATGCTCCCTAGGCATGTTCCCTGCACGGGTACTCAGCCACATCAAGAACAATTTATAACCTAAGTATGCGGCGATGGGTGGGACCGACGGGTTTGGGCTCATCACAAACATCGCCCCGTGGGGAAAGCACCCTTCCCAATGGTCTCTGCTCCACCAGGTGAGGAAGACACCATGCACGAGTCCCCACCAGGGAGCACCTGCAGGCAGAGCTAAGAGCCGTGGCGCCAGCTGAATTCACAACGACCCGAGTGGCTCGCAGGGAGGAGTCTTGGCCGTGGGGTGACCAGGACGCTCTGGTGGGTCAGAGCCGTGGTTCACGCCCTGGTGGGTCAGAGCCGTGGTTCACGCCCTGGTGGGTCAGAGCCGTGGTTCACGCCCCCGGTTTATTTTAAGAGCGAGGTTGAGGCACGCACACACTTGTTCATCTTCTCCAGCATCACCCTTGACGACCTGAGCTCTGTCCCAGCTTCCCGCACTGTGTCCTTCCAGGCTTGGCTCCGTACTGTTTATCAGGGTTTCTTGGGACAAACTGTTTAACCTCTTCGAGTCTCCATGTCTATACAGGGGGATAGTAATCAAACTCCCCTGGAGGTTATTGTCAGAATCGCTGTGACACAGTGCACGGAAGCCCGTGACGCATGTGGCTGAGACGGAACAACCAGCAAACACTGCTTTTCTGGGGCCACTCGTGAACTTACTTTTCGTATGCATATACATTTTTATGAATTTATTTTTGTTACGTATATAAATTCTCACAGCAATCACAAAGCTTCCAAAAGCCAGAAGCCAAGTCTTACCCACTCTGAGATCTCTGATGCTATTGGCAGTGTGCTGTTTTGGGCACTCAGTACATTTCTGCTGGGCACACAGACGACGAACCACATCCTTCAGTTAACTTCCCGTAGGACGCACCACTCCCTTCTCTAAACGAACCCAAGATGTTTCCAGGGAGCTGCCCCATTTTTGGCTGTGACTTGCTGACACTGCCATTCATAAATTTACACACGTTGGTCACATTCCATTTCCACCGCCCCCACTCAGAGAACAGACGAGGCACTCAGAGTTAAGATTCAGCTCCAACACACACTCTGCTGTTTTATGCAAGTCATTTGCTGTCTACATGGCTTCTACGTTTAGAAAAGAAAGGAGCAGGCACACATCCCAAGGACCTGTGGCCACTCAGGAACACGCGGTGTTCAGTCGCTCTGTGCTGGGAAGTGTGAAAGTCTTGCTCTGGGCGGTCTGCACTCCCACGTCCCTCTGAGGGCTGTGAAAACCACAGCTGCTGATCATGCCTCTGCTTCCCATCTAATCATTTTATTGATCACGCGTCACAGTCTCTGTCCTCTCAGAATGGAACTGCCCATCAGGGAAAGAACAGAAATGGTTCCCAAAGCCCTGGTGACCAGAGACTTTCATTCTGTGCGAAAGTTCTGGGTTTTCCCTGTACTGGGTTTCACCTGCACTTCTAGGCGGTAAGAGTCATCCGTTGTACTGCCCACTCGGACAACTTCACAGGCTCATCCTGACCTGCTCCCGGCTGCACAGCCTCTCTCTGCAGCAACTTACCAACACCTGCCAGCTTGGAGAAGCTGCCGTGTCTTCCCAGTGCACACAGAAGCACTTCAGAAGACATGCAGAGAGGTGAGAGAGGTGCGTTTTTACCAACGTATTTAGATGCTCTTCCTGAGGGTGCGATGACCTCCACTCCCACTCTGTCCTTGGATACATGGTGACTTTAGTGCTAACTGCTGTGATTTTAAAGTTCCAATAGGGGCTGGTGCCATGGCTCAACAGGCTAATCCTCCACCTAGCGGCACCAGCACACCAGGTTCTAGTCTCGGTCGGGGAGCTGGATTCTGTCCCGATTGTCCCTCTTCCAGGCCAGCTCTCTGCTGTGGCCAGGGAGTGCAGTGGAGGATGGCCCAAGTGCTTGGGCCCTGCACCCCATGGGAGACCAGGAGAAGCACCTGGCTCCTGCCTTCGGAACAGCTCGGTGTGCTGGCCGCAGAGCGCCGGCCGTGGTGGCCATTGGAGGGTGAACCAATGGCAAAAGGAAGACCTTTCTCTCTGTCTCTCTCTCTCACTATCCACTCTGCCTGTCCAAAAAAAAAAAAAAAAAAGTTCCAATAGAGAAATGTTTAGAAAACCAGAAAAGATAGCATTTAGAGATAGCATTTAGGGAGAGGAAAGCTCACAAACTCTAAAAGCTCCGCGTTTATGTCACAAGGATGATGATGATATTATTATTATTATTATTAATTATTACTACCACCAGTGCACCCGGGCCTTGGGTTTCAGGAGAAATGAACATGTGATGCACTGCAACGGATGCTGGCGCCTGCTCCCTCCCACAGTGCTAGCACAACAACTCCAGACGATGTCTTGGGGCTCCAATAGCAGTTGTCAGTTCAATAACTCGACTCTGACCTTGAGTGCAAGATGCATCACCAAGAGCGCGACCCATGAAAGACAAAAAGTGGCTGATTTGGACCTTACAGAAATCAACACCTTCTGCTCTGTGAAAACCTGTTAGGAGAACAGGGTCTCGTGCAGGAGGGGTTTCCAGTCGTTCCTTCTCCAACACACACTCCACAAGCACAAGATGACAACAACTGCGCACTAAATACAGATCACACGCAGTACTGGGGGGTACACTTCGTGTGACTTCACAACACTTGAACTCTGCCCAGCAGACGCAGCATTGCACAGCTCAAGACGTATCGCATGATTCTATTTCCAAGGTGGAAAAGGACAGTCCTGGCGTGTCGTGCACAGGCTCTGTCCTTCTTCTGGGTAGCGCCATTTATAGGGACAGTCATGATCCACAATCCTCAACTTATAATTTAGAAGCTTCCTTGAAATAGCGACTTCCATCACTCTGATGTAAGATGAGTTACGTTCATTCAGAATTCCCTTGTTGTATAAAGTTCTGTACGGGTCCTTCAAACACAACACAGATTCACATGAACACATCTACATGGAGATTAGAGATTTTCATATTTCAACTAAGTTGTCCTAAAGATCTGTTCTGATTTGAAGGTATATGCTGTTTATATAAAAGCTGACCAGCCTGCAGAAAACTGAGAACATGTTTAAGTAGTTCCTTCAGCTTCATCAAATGAATTTAAAAACAAACAACTTTTTTTTTTTTTCTAGAAAAGGTCAGTGATGAAAATCTGCTGAGCAATGATGGAAAATCACATATTTATAATGAAGAGTTTGTCTGTGCAGGTCATAGTGAGCCACGTAGAGATGAAGGATACCCAGTCCTCAAAGGGGATATAGGGAGCTCGGACAATGTTGTAAATTTTTATGGCCAATCAGGCAGGTAGTAGGATCCCCTGGTATTTTTCCTTCTCATGATAATACTTCTCACAAATAAAATGCATGGGTTTTCCCATCTCTCACTTGCATCTAACACTTATAGGAATATAAAATGAAACTTCCAGGGGATAAAAAGATGAAGCTAATCTCCAAGAAGACACTGAGATTATTCTTCACATTGAGAAAGAACTACATTTAAGATACTTCTGTTTGGCAGCTCCCAAGATCAAAAAGCAAAATAGGTGACATTCATATCACATAAATGTTTCTGCTAAGTACTGTCTCACAAACATACGCTTCCCACTTCTCTAGGCGCTCCTGGCCTTGGTTTCAGCCTGGTCCAGCAGTGGCTGCTGCAACCATCTGGAGAGTGAACCAGAGGATGGAAGCTTTCTCTCCCTTCCTCCCTCCCTCTCTCTCTCTCGCCTTCTCTAACTCTGACTTTAAAATAAATAAGTAGATCTTTTACAATACATTTCAAGGCTGAATAAAATTACAGGTTCCGTGAGATGGGTTAGCAAGTACTGTGTACATCTATACTAGAGATATGTCTGTGCCCTTGAAATACAAAGTACCCAAGAAAAGCATTTGTATTACGTCATCATGATCAGCACAGGCCTCTGAAAGTGAGTCTCAAGACGCCCTGGAAGGCAGTAGCTGGGCTCACTGTCCTGAAACTTCAGAGCTCAGTCCAAGAAGTTCTTCTAGGGGCAGCACAACCACGCTCCGCAAGGGACCCATTAATGCAGGTTGTGTTTTCTCAGCCTTCAGTGCATCCATCTAGGCCTTCTCTCCACCACCATGGAAAGACGTATCTGACCCACTGCGATGAATCAGAACTGTGGTTAAAAGGTAAAACAGGGGCTGGTGTTGCGGTGCAATGAGTTACACTCCCCTGCCATGCCGGCACCCTACATCACAGCTCTGGTTCAGGTCCTGGCTGCACAGCTCTGGTCCAGCTCCCTGCCAATGCACCTATCAAGGCAGCAGGAGACAGCCCAGGAATCTGGACACCTGCCACCCACGTGAGAGA